AATTAACCGTGTTTTTGTCAGGACGCCAGCCAAAAACACGGTTAATTATTCCTCCCAATGCTCTTGCCGCATCCATAGAAGAGAAGTTGTGACGACTCTTCTCTCCAGCACGATTGCATGTTACTCTTGAAACAAGGATAAATTCGATGTGACAATGTTGTTGCATGAGATTCTTACTCCTTTTTGACAAATCAAATTCTACATCTTTTATATTGGGTCGTGGCCCAATACCGGAGCACTCGCTCGGCATTATATAGTAAGTGACAAATTTTAACCGCTCATTTGACAACAGACGAAAGCTGGATCCTCCTTGCCGACGCGCCCAACTAAACATGCTGGAGGGGCCCTCGTGAAAACCTATGCCTAACACATTCACGACAGCGTGGCGGAATATACAGTGGGGGCCAAAAAAAGAGTCACTTTGCCCATGGCGCATATCATCAAACTTTTGTCGCAAAGGATGCCGCTGTTATTGGGAGTTATACGGCGAAATATTCCTTAGATGTCCCCCCATAAGCAGAATCAGGCCCACCTTCGCTGCCTTCACCGTCTCCAGAATATGACGTCATCTGTCATCACCGTCGAGCTCAAGGAGGCCTACCATAATCGCTCCATTCTGAAGCTGCTACATAATTTCTTCAATCGGATAACTGGTGAATGGCTTCTTAGAGACACTAGCTCTGACTATGCAAGATGGCTTTTGACCAGCGTTTCAGAGACGTCGTAATCGTCTATGGTTTCTCGACGACCTCGTTGAGCTCGTACCGTGAACCATGTTTCCGTGGGAAAATCTTCTGATGTCGTCGGTGTAAATTTTTTTGATAGAATAGAATGTGCTCTTCAATACGCAATTGAGCTCATTCGGTTTGGTATTGGCAAAGTGTAATTAATACACTTTTTAAGTGAATGGAGTGACTTTTTTGGCCCTTCCTGGATATCCCCCGCTTTGCAGGCCACGTCGGACCGTGCGGAGGATATGTCTCCCGCACCCATTCCATCACATTTTTCGCAGATGCACGACTTCTTCCGAAGTTTTTTGTTTCTATTTTATAGATCGGATATTGATATAACTATGATATAAACGTTGTGGTCCATGGAATAGTTAAATATGCTTCAGTTTAGGAAAGATTTTCCAAAATTCGTGAACTTCTCAATTCAGCTCAAACTTTTCAGAAAGAAGTAAAATTGTGAATGGTTTTTGAATGTTTTTGTCAGGTTTTTCGATCACCAATCGGCAAAATTCTTTACAGTATACCCGCCCAAAGGGTATTGGTTGATTAATTTGTGGCACATTGCTGATTGAAAAGATGGTTGTTGAAAAGAGAATAAAGTGCTATATGGAAAGTAAAAGTGCCAAGATTCTTGAGTAACAACCAAATATTCAAACCAGAGCACT